AAATCTATAAATTTTCAAAATAGTAAAAATCAATTTTCACTTGGCATCATTTACACATTCATACCCCACCATTCAATTATACATGAACTCAATCAAATAGTAACAATCAATTTTCATTGAATACAACTCAATCAAAACATCAAAAAAATAAAAAAAATATATAAATCATGGTTAACTAAATATTATTTTGATTATTTTGGAATTTGGGGTTTAGAATATAATTGAATTATTTTAGAATTTGGGGTTTAAAATGAAATTGATGATTGTTTTGCTAGTTTTAAAAGTTGGGGGGCCTAAATGTAAGTACCTGAAAAGTTCAATTATCATTTATATAATTTATCCTAATTTTCATATCTTCAAACGGTGATCTCACTGCCACGTTAGCGTCTTCTAACTTCAGTGTAACGTCGGGAACCATATTACAAACGGATTAAATATTGGGGGACTGTATTGCAAGTTTTAAAAGTTAAATGACCTAAATAAAATCTTTAGAAAAGTTCAGTGACCATTACTATACTTTACCCTAATTTTTATTATTGTACCAAATGTATTTTGTCTTTAGTAACAAAACCAAATTCAATTTAACATTATGAAATTGCCTTTTGTCTTTGTAGGGTTAGGTGTTTGATTGTCAGTGTTATCAAACGGATTAAAAACATTATTAATTTAAATGGAATATTTTTTTGCTTAATTATCCAGTTAATTTCCCATTATTAACATATTTCTTAACTTCAATTATTGATGTTCATGTACCTTTTCTCGTAAATGACTTGAGTTAAAGTAAGGGCACTTAGAACAAAAAAGTCGATTTCAAATTCAACTCTACAAGAAAACGACAGTTATTTTTTTCAGAGTAAAAGGTTACTGTTTATATATGCGGTGCTTTAAATAATACGAGTACACTAATCAAGTATGAGCTGTAATATTTAGCATTAAATGATTTATAAAAGAAAAATTAGAATCGAGTAAGTATATTGGATTTGCGAAAATGATCAATAAATTCGTAACGTGAACTCTAATTTCGTAACACAGTTTTCAAATTCGAAACGCGAATATGTAAATCGCAACTCGAATTTGTAATTCACAAAACAGAAGTCAAATTCGCAATGCAAATTTTATTTTCGAATTCGAAACACAATATTAATTTCGAAACACAATATTAATTTTACAACATAAATGTAAACAGTATAATCGCAACTCATAACCTAAAACCCAAAATCACAACTCAATTCCATCTCCATCTCTCACCATCTCCGGCGACATCCGTCCCCATCTCCAGCGAAATCTATCTATCTCCATCTCTCAGAGCCACCCTTACAACCATTCACGGCCACAAATGGAAAATCAACCACCGAGTGTTAGTTTTTTTAATTATTTTTATTTTGAAATTTTTGTATTATTATTAGATTTTTCATATTTAAATTGATGATAAATTTACTGGTAATTTCAATATATAGATTAACCATTTCACTTATATTGCTTAGTCAATTCATTCGGTTGCTGCCAATACTGCTAAATTGTTTAGTCTTTAACCCTATGAAGTTAGTATTTGTCTTTTGGTTGAAGTAATATAATTCATTCAAGTTTCAATTTGCAGAAAAATAGTTTTTGAAACTTAAATTCGAAACACGAAAATGAAATTCGCAACACGAAAATCGCAACGCGATTTTAGTTTCGCGTTGCGATTTTTATTTTCGTGTTGCGATTTTCATTTTTGCGTTGCGATTTTCATTTTCGCGTTGCGATTTTCATTTTCGCGTTGCGAAATTAAGTTTCAGAAACTACTCTTCTTCTGCAAATTGAAATTTGAATGAATTGCATTACTTCAACAAAAAAACTATGATGGAATAATGACTTGGGTGAATACCGTGCTAGTTTGAAATATATTTGGCTTTGTTTTCACTGTTTAATATCATGTCTATTTATAGTGTATAATTTGTAGTTTTTGGTATATCTAACTTGATATGTTTATTATTTTTGTTATAATTTTTTTCAGCTTCATTGATTCTAAGGAATAAATTAAGCATAGCCACTACAATAGCGTCGACACTTACACCTGTACAAAGAAAACTGTTTGAGGATACTTGCTTCGGGCTATGGATGAAAGTACAACATCCAGGTGGAGATGCTATGTTGACCCATTTGTTTCTTCAGACCATGACTAACGATCTACCCGAGAAGATACAACGTGGTGATGAAGAGATATGGTTTTATTTTCCACCGGTGTATACTTGTTTTGGGCGGGAGGAGTTTTGTTTAATCACTGGTCTACGTTTCAGACACGATGAAGTAGGTCGGTACACTAGTCATATCACCCTCTCATCATGGTTATCTCGGGTTTTTCCTGAGCTGGCAAAGGCGAAGCCCAGTTTACACGTCGACGACTTGAAAATATTACTTCTTAAAGATGGTTTTACTCGGATGGATGACCTTGATATTGTCCGAGTATGCCTTTTATTACTTTTGAATGCCGACTTTTTAGGCAAAGAGGCCAGACAACCTATTTTCGAGGACCTAATATTATTGGTAGAGGACCTAAATGCATGGAACGTGTTTCCCTGGGGTTCATATCTATGGAAAGCTACCTGGAAAAAGTTATCGTATGCCTTTGAGGACCGTCGCAGTTTGCGTGGTGATGGTTCCAAATACACTTTGGTAGGCTTTATTTAGGCTTTTAAGGTAAGAATTTCTATATAATGTTTCCAAAATTATAATTAATTATTTAACAATTACTAATGTTTGTGTATTATATTGTTTATAGATTTGGATATTTGAGGTTTTTCCCAGCATGCGGACATATGCAAGAAAAAATTCAAATGATATTCATAGGGCTATTACCTAGAGGAGGATCCGGCTGTTGGATTGGGAAGATTTACTACTATATACGACGATGAATGATGTAAGTTAACACAAATACTACCATATATAAACAAGTTATTACTAGTAGACGTTTAACTTTGTTTGAGCTTTTATATTGTTAGGAGTCCAACTATCCATTACAGAGGCTGACACCCACAGAGGCTGAGCTTGCCACTGATTGGTGGCAAGCTAGTAAGCATTTTTTTATGGGACGGATGATGAGCACCCCCTACTTCGAGAGCCATCACCTGATCGAGTCGATTCTATAGCTCGACACCCAGAGCCATCACCTGATCGAGCCGATTATACACCTCCACAACGAGAGCCATCACCTATTCCATCACATCATCGAGCCTCTTCTCTACCATCACCTCATGATAGGCAACCGGCAAAGATGTCACGACATTTATCTCCATGTTCTATATCTCCACAAGATGAGTTAGGGGAGTTACGTGATGAGGTCAGTGCTTTGCGTGATGAGTTCAGTACTTTACGTGACGATAATGGTGCATGGCGTGATGAGGTACGGTCTTTACGTGGTGAGGTAGATGTTTTACGCGATGACAATGGTGTTTTACGCGGTAAGGTATCTACTTTACGTGATGAGGTAGCCGCTCTACGTGAGATTGTTTTATCGTTGCAGAATGAGGTTCATACTCTACGCAATGAGATAAGTTTGTTTAATACTATACTAAAAATGCAAATAACCTTTTTTCAGTATTATTTATTTATTTATTTACCGATTTATGTATTAATTTATTTTTAGCGGCCCGATAAGGTAGATGCTTTACGTTGGGTTTTTCTTGCACGACGGGGTTCACGTATCAGACGTCGTGCCCGTGTCATTACGTCTCCTTTCACCCCAATAGTGCCAAGACTTCGTAAGAAGAAGCCCGATTCACCTGTCATCATTCAAGAGGCCCATCATATCATTCAAGAAGCCCCTCTCATCGTTCAAGAGGCCCCTCCCACCGTTCAAGAGGCCCCTGTCATCATTCAAGAGGTCCCTCCCACCGTTCAAGAGCCCGAGTCACATGGCATACTGTGTCGACATATTGATAAACCCCTCACGTGCCCGATATGATGGATGAGAGTTGGCTTTCGTATGAGTTACCGGCCAGTACCATTCCTCAGCAGGAGAGGATAACACTATCGGACACAATTATGGATAATACCCTTTGGGCTAAGACCAGTTGATTTTTATCTACATGAGCGGAACCAGGGGTGTTACGTTGACATATGCAAAATCGACGATGATATGCATTTGTTTCTTGATTGGTCTTAGTGGGGTGTTTTATTAGGGGTTAAAGAGAATGGCTATTTCGAATTGGGGTAAGTCTTATATTCTTCTTATATTTCATTTTGATTATTTTTTAATATTTTTTATTAAATTCTCTAATATATTTATTTTTTATCCACAACATATTGATGCATGAGTGTCACGTCTTCTGATTATAAGGAAATTGAAGAAAATAAAAAAGACGCGATGGACTATTACGCCTTCGTCTTTTCACGTAGCTCACTTGAAGGATCAGAGAAATTTATTTCATGTGCGCAATTGAATTATTATTTATGATTGCAGATGTTTATCCCTGTTATGGAACGTCGTCATTGGCTTCTCATCGAGCTTCAGCTCCCATCCCTGAAACGATAATATTTGATAATATGTTGAATTACATACCATTGTCTGATTTGAAAGATATTATTTGTTAGGGATTGAGCGCTCATTTTGCTAAATACTTGGATGCGATTGATTATTGAACTAATTATGGAAACAAGAAGCCAAAAAAGTTCAAAGTTACAATGATGAGAGACGAGACAACATCACAACAAACGACTGGAGCCAGAGGGGATTGTGGTCCTCTTGTATGCATGTTCTTGGAACGTTTGACGACATGAGGTAAATTGTTTCTACCTCCCATAGATAGAGATAGAGGTGCAGTAGGTTTGTGGTTTTATCATTTTATGGCTAGAGCGATATATTCGAGATGTTGCCTACCTACATCCGAGTGCTGAAAGTGTGCATAAACAACCATTTGTTGTTGGTAAGTTTGAGCACGTGTTGTTAACATATATACTCTTTGCTGGTTTGAAAATATTGGTTAAGTACCTATAATTCAATAATTTGTTGTTTGTTGGTTTAGATGTATAGAAAGTGTTGTTTGAGAAAATGTTTGGTTTCTGCAGGTTAATCCTGAAGTGAGCTGCGTGAAATTGATGTATTTGTGCATAAATAATCAGTTGTTATTGGTAAGTTTGTGCAAGTGTTGTTAACTGTTATATACTTGTTGGTTTGAAAATGTTTGGTTTAAGTGCCTAGAATTCAATAATTTGTTGTTTGTTGGTTTTAGATATGTAGAAAGTGTTGTTTGAGCAAATGTTTGGTTTCTACAGGTTAATCCTGAAATGAGCTGTGTGAAATTGATGTATTTGTGCATAAATAACCAGTTGTTATTGGTAAGTTTGTGCAAGTGTTGTTAACTGTTATATACTTGTTGGTTTGAAAATGTTTGGTTTAAGTACCTATAATTCAATAATTTGTTGTTTGTTGGTTTTAGATGTGTAGAAAGTGTTGTTTGAGCAAATGTTTGGTTTCTGCAGGTTAATCCTGAAGTGAGCTACGTGAATGTATTTCGATGTAATCTCCCTATTGTTAGGAGCATTTGGATGTACTGTCTGGGGCTAATTGTATCAATGTGTTGTTGATTTGTTTTTTTTAGATGTGTAAATAAGAATTGTTTTTTACTTGTTTAATTGATTTGTAAAATTTGATTTGTTGTTTAAGAAAATTTCAATCTACATTATGTTGAAGGCAAAAAAGACTTGTTGAAGGTACACTTTCGCAACACGAAATTAAAATTCGCAACGCGAAAATCAAATTCGTGTTTCGATTTTCGCGTTGCGAATTTTAATTTCGCGTTGCGCATTTTACTTTCGCGTTTTGAATATGACTTTCGCAACAATCGCAATGCAAATTTCACTTTCACAACAAAAAAATCGCAAAGATAACAGACAACAATCTGATAAGTGATAACAACTGAACAAATCATAGCAATGTTCAAACTCAAGTTATTAATGCATGTCTAACTGAAAATATATGCATTCACACATAAAATACACATAATACAACGTTTGCATTTAAAAATCACCTAAGTTAATAAGTCCCAAAAGGTGAAGCCGGTTGTGATTGGGATTTTTTTTATTACGGTTTTGATTTCTTTTTGCTTGGCACCATATGAGCTTTGGATTTTGATGAGGATCCATATTTTGGTAGAGGAAAAGATAATTGTGATGGCATTGGTGATCCACAGATTAACCTTGTATGACAACTTTCCTTACACCGACTACATGTCGATATCCTTTTCTTTTCACTCTTAGACGGTATACGATCGTGATTTTTTGGTCGGCCATGTAGCCTGTTGTCCATGACTGGTGGCAAAACTGTTTGTAAGTCATCTGGTATGTCACACTCAGAAGGATGTGGAATAGGGTAGACAATCTCGGCATAAGTCTATCGATATACTTCTGTAGTGTAGCAATCCATAGCGTATGCGCTTGAATCATCTTGGTTTAGATGAAGAGCAACTTTTATAACATGGCCACACGGATAACCAGATGTTTGCCATTTCATACAACTACACGTCTTTGCATTTAGATCGACAAACCCATTTAAGTTATTATCCAATACTTCAAACAAAATGTTTGAACAAGTTCAACTCTCCATGACGTTGACTTCACAACACGTTTCGTTATCTTTTTTTCAGTCCATGGTGTAACACGACATTCCAATGTTCCTGTAAATTTAAATAAATAATACTTAGTAAAATATATAAATATGATAAGTTACGAATTTAAAGAAATAATACATGCATAATTTCTTTTCTTGTAGTACCACTGTTGAATAGAAGCTCGAAAAAACTCCATTAACATAGTAATGAGTAATTTTCGAGAATGACGACTTAGAGCGTTGATTGATTCTGCACTATTAGACGTCATGAAACCATATCTTGCTCCAAGTTGATGTACTCTTGACCATATTTCAAACCCGACATCTTCTAGTGTTTGAGCACATTGAGGCAAAACATGTCTTAAACAATTTATATGATTATTAAAATCCACTTCCCGATAAGCTTTTACATCCTTTCAGTATGTCCATTTGTAATTTTTTATATCAGCAGACCTTGATTTTAGATTTCTGTACAAATGAACACCACAAAGTCTATACAAACATATGGGAAACACCTTCTAACATCATTGTCAATTGAGTATGCCCTATCAGATATGATTGTCAGATTGCTAATAGGACCTATGCAATCCCTAAGATGCCCATAAGTCATGTCCATGAATCAGAGGTTTTAGATTTGCCAACCCCGTAAGCTATTGGCAGTATCTCATTGTTAGCATCCATGGCTACTGCTAATAAGTTTACTCCAAGGTATCGATCTTTCAAATGTGCTCTGTCAACTATAATAACTGGGCGCATGCAAGTAATAAATGAATGAATCTACAAAATAATATACACAAGAAATATAATTATTTAAATGTGAAATGCATGTAACTAATAAAAATGAGTCAAAAAAATTATATTGATTTACTAACCGCAGCACCAATGGCGATAAACAACAACTCAAAGTATCCATCTCTATCTGTTTTGATATGAGTTACCGACCCAGGATTTTTCAACTTTAAATTGTGACAATAAGCCGGCAGTTGGGAAAACGATACTTTTGGAGACCCCCTCAACAATTTTAAGGCATAACATTTGGCTCTCCAAGCTTGACAATATGAGATACTAATCTTGAACCGAACATTCATGTCAGTTATAATTTCATGTCCCCGATATACCCTGTCATTCAAAAACATTAACTCAACCAGAAAACCACCCAACACCTTTTTGTTTGCCTGTCTATGGTGAGGAAAAACTTGGGTTCTTGAACATGTATGTTTATCAATAAAAGTCCTAACTTGAAACATTTCGCAATCTTTTATCCTCTTTGTAATCATACTCCACGTACAGTTTTTGTCATTCATACACTTTGTTTCAAAATAATCTTTGCTTGATTTGTTAACTTTTAGTTGATAGACATCTTCCACACATTTCGTACACAAATCTATCTTCAAGTCTTCCTTTGTATCAAAACAATTATCTTTCTTTATACGAATAACTTTTGTGTAACAATCAATTGCTATCTTTACCAACTCTTCTTCCGGTATCTGAAGTAATTCTGGCATATTCCAGTTATACTCCCGTGGCATTTTCTTCTTTTTCTTTTCTTCGGGGACTTCTTATTCTTCTTTTTCTTCTTCAGGGTTATATGAATTATAGAATGGATGTTCAACATGTTCATTCACAATCGTAACTTCCTCCTCATTATTATCAATAACATCTTCCTCGACAACGGCTGTTTCATCATCAAAATTCGGGTATTGACCAATATCAAAATCATTACACGCAGGGTCTGTTTCTTCTTCTGAAATATCATCAAAATCCGAGTATTGACCAAGATCAAAGTTCGGGTATTGACCAAGATCAAATTTCGAATACTGACTAGTACTCACAATTTTTTCTGTTGGCTCATAATCGTCTAACTAGTCAATACGAAAATCGGAATTTGGTGCTGAAAGTTGATTGGGATTTGGATTAGGAAAAGGTTGTGGGTTTTGATATTGTGTTTGGTATTGGAAATGTGGTGAAACAAAATTTTCTTGGTGATGAAATTGTGGTGGAACAATTAAATTTTGACGATGATAACAACGTTGTACATTTTGAGCACCATAAACTGGGGTTGAAGAACTTAATTGATTACTACCCGCTACTGACCCAACTTCACTACTTCTAGGTTCAACAACATACAATGTAACATCATCTTCTTGCGAAACACTAATGTAAGCAATGAATTGTTCAACATCTTCATTGTCGGTTAACAAATAAACTTTACATTTTCTCTTATAAGATAACCTAAATCCACTTAGAGGCTCTAAATTCAATTTCTTTGTAACACGTAACATTAGAGTTTCATAAGTTAACTTTTTTAATGACAGTTTTAGTTGAAGATTCATGGGTAAAGGCATATATTGTAAAACACCATAAACATTTTCCCATGACTCTCCAAAACACAAATATATCCAAACATGATCAACATTAGATGATTTCATTCTACAAATTATAAATTAATTTACTAAACAAACGAGCTATAAACTATATATCATCACTAACTTAGAGAAAACATATATTTAGTAAGTTGATAATTTATAATTTGGGAGAGAAATCATTGAAAAATTATATAGAAATAAAATTATGTAAAAAAAATTGAGATGGGAAAGGATATCGTTGGATATAGGAACGGATGTCGCCGGAGAGAGTGATAGATGGAGATGGAATGAGTTGTGATTTAGGTTATGAGTTGCTGCTGTTGCGTAGTTATATACCCAAAACATTTGTGTTGCGAAAATAAAAACTGGTGTGAATTTAAAATTCGTGTTATGAATTCGAAAATCGAGTTGCGAAAACAAAATTCGCGTTGCAAATTCAGAAATCGAGTTGCGAATTTGAAATTCAGTGTTGCGAATTTGGAAATCGCGTTGCGAATTTAGAAATTGTATTGCGAAATTGGAGTTCGCGTTGCGAATTTGTTGGTCATTTTCACAAATTCAAAAAAAAGTTGGTTAAAATCGTATATTATAAAGCATTTTTGGTCACGGAAGTTATTTTCTCTTAAATAATACGAGTACACTAATCAAGTATGAGCTGTAATATTTAGCATTATATGATTTATAAAAGAAAAATTAGAATCGAGTAAGTATATTGGATCGATTTGTCAAACTATTCATCTTTGTTCTCTTATTTTTCTTAAGTCATAATTCTAAAATCACTCTTGTTCTTTCCTGAAATCATAATTTTTCTCTCCTCTAAATAAAATTAAAAATTATTTTTAAAAAAACGAAAATCCAAAATTATAATTAAGACATTACACGAGTTTTGTTCTTAAATTATAGAATCATCACAAAGGTTGATGATGACTTTTTTTCAATTATATCCAACTTAATTTTAAAATACCAAAATTTCCAAATTAAAGTCGTATCCGTTTTTAAAACAACATTTAATTGTTCCACCGAAAAATGGTTATGACAATATCCTACAAGCATTACTGCTTAAATCTAATATCTTTA